TCTGTCTCTTCCTTTGCTCTCCTTTTTTTCTGCCAAGCATAAACTACTTCATTTTCAAAGCTTTGCAGTCTATTCCCACTCTAGCCATTGTCCCATATACACTATGGAAATGTTGACTTAACATTTCACTAACAATTCAAACATTTGACAGTCTGCATTTTCTAATGACCATCTCCAGTGCTTTTTTGCTTGTGCTGCCCTGTGTGCAAAGAAGAAGTTGCTTCCTGTTCCTACCCTAAAACTTTCCTTTCTTTTGATCCCTGTAAAAATCCATAACAGAACAGGTATGTGTTAAACCCCTGTTAGTGGGTTGGTCTGTGCTTTCTTGTGTTTCACATGTTATTCCATCTGTAATTATCCACTCTATCTTATCCTTAACTTTAAAATAATGTGGGCTGTTTCTATGGTGTTTATACTTGGTTTATCGAAGATGTAAAATGTAACTGGTGCATGTAAAGCTTGGCTTTGAAATGAGCATGAGTCGTAAATTCAATCCACAAATAGTATTTATTTTATAAATATGTATAAGCTACTTATTACTGAAATGTAGATTAATACAACTTTATTTTAGGATAATTTGGTAGGTGCCTTAATTCCAAAATAAGCAAACACCACCGTCTTGTTTTGTGCTGCTTTTACAATGATACTTTTCAGTGTGGTCTGTTGAAATACAAACAGGGTTTATGGAATATTTTTACTAAACGGTCGACAGGTTTTAATTTAGGGTCTTAAATCATAATTGTTTTTCACAAAAGCATAATGAGGGCACACCTGATGCTATAAAAAACAGATGTCATTTCAGTATTCCAGGACTGTGTGCTAAATTTGGAGAACTTAAGAGCTAGTGTCATAGCTGTATAGTTATCAGGGAGCATTGCTAAATAAATTGGATTTGGGTGTGGATTGCACTTCAATTTCAGAGACTTTCACGATTCTGACAATATGGATCAAATTTTCTTAAGGAACTTTCAGGAGACTATTTCAAACTGACAAAGAATATATTGAAATTATTTTTTCCTACCAGTCATAGAACTTTCAGGAGACCATTTCAAACTGACAAAGAATATATTAAAATTATTTTTTCCTACCAGTCATGTTTAACGAGATGGTACTACTTGCACTTGGTCATTGTGATTGGAAGAGCAGCAAGCAGACCTGGAGGAAATAATCTGTTTCCCAAACCATTTATCCTACTGTAAAGCAAATCAGGTAGTGAGACATGAGTTGAGGTTGTGGATACCCTTATGCTCAGATGTTACGGTATGAATGTGCAGGACAGGCTGCTTGTGTTCTGGGTGTTGCTGTGGGTGTCTAGTTTAGGGTTATTGAATCATGAGGTGGACACATTCTGCTAAAGAAATGAATCCTGCCTACTCCATTTTTTGAGTGTCTCCTTCTGGGGTCTTGTTTATCACAAATTAAAAATTGCGTGTGTCTGCACACGTGTGCCTGTGCAGTTGAGTGTATATAAATGTAAGTATGTATGAAACGCACTATGAAATATTTACCTTTTTTTTAAAAAAGAGCTTATTATAACAAATGACAAGTGATGCTAGTTTTATTTAATAAGAAATTAATGAATAGAAGTTTTGTTGAGGTCTGGAAGAGTACAGAAGGTTTGAAAGTAGTGTGTATATATACTAGGACATTAATTCCCTCTAGCTATACATCCTGTTGAACTCTGGAGCTAAAGCTAATGACGCCTGTTGGTAAAGAGGTATGAAGTTTTATACGGGTTTTGATGGCTTTTTTTTTAACAAAAAAATGTCTTCCAAAGCCAAACAAGAGGATTCCTGTTTGAATCGTAAGGAAAACCACTTTTCGTAAGGATTGATAACAATTTATTTTTCAGTTAATAATTAGTCTTCTGCTTCACTAGCCTTTCCCATAGATGGGGGAAAATGTACCTTCTCCAACTGTATGTTTAATTACATTCCATTTTTGAGTCAGAATGGGTATGTTACAGAGAAGCTGTCAGTCTGAGACTGAGCAAACTAAATATTCCCATCTGAGTGAATCCAGTTCCGTGAACATGAACCACTGGTGTAGGTAAGAAAGGAGATACCTTGAAGCTTTACAGTGTTCAAGAACTGTCAGATCATGTTCATTTGAAAGGGATGGCAACACTCTTTTTCTACCAGTGCAGACACGAGTATTATGTTTCACCCCAGATGGGCTATCCAGGTGTTTAGCAGATCCTGATATTTGCACTTTTACTGTTGAATTTCAGCATTTTTGGAATAGCCATTCAGCTTGTTTTGTAGAATCCCAGATCTTTCCCTTTATAATGATTTAGATAGGTGAGATTAAAACAAAATATTTGTCCTTCCACCTTTAAAAATGCTTCATCGACTTTATATACTGTTTTCTAAAAACTCTTTTACCGACATATATTGCTGTAAGGATAATTGGCATGAACAATTAGGAACTTTTTGATTATGGTGAATTTGTGATTTGTAGTTGAGGTCAAAGTATTCCTGATGATACGGGACTATCAAGACTAGTAGAAATGTGAGAAATAAGTTCCCATTGGTTCTGTTTTGATGTATCCAACTCAGCAGAGCAATGGGATTCTTCCAGATCTCCATACTCTAAAGGAAGAGTCTGAAGGACTGTGTCACTGTTGAGGGAATCTGCTTTAATACCATTGGCACAACTGAAAGACTTTGACAAGTCTTGCCTTGTGGTATGACTGCTAGAATATCTATTTGGTCAAAATGTCTTCTGAATAAGAAAACACATGATACTTTTCTTCTATGTTGCATGTTTGAAAAAGAACACATTCCATTAGCAGTAAATGCTGTGGAAACTCGTATCACTTAGCTTCTGAAAAATGCATCACTGAACAAAAATACCCTGCGCTTTGCTTTAAAGATAGTATTTATCTTTTCTGCTGAGAGAGTAATGGGAAGGAGTATCATCTGAGCTTGAGAATGTTGGTATAAGTGATATGCATTGTCTAAGTCTCACCTAAGCTTTTCCTGTTTGAAATTTTAAGTAAAGACTTCATTGAGTTCCTCTGCGTAAGGATAAACATAGCTCCAAGAGCAGTGCCAAACAGACTTGGCGATTGGTGTGGGAGTGATTGCTGTGATTCCAGAACTATGAAGGTGCTGTCACTTCTGCAAAGGATCTGTGCAGTGGGGTGGCAAAACATGGCACAGATTTTGAAAAGTACAGAAAGTGAGGTGAATCTTGGGTCTGTGGATACGCCCAAAAACTCATATGGGGCCGTCTTCTATTATGAATCACAGTTTTGCTTTTTTTTAGTTGTAAATTATCATTCTTTAATTACATCTTCAACTATAATTTTGTGACTGTTCTGTATGAAGAGTTCGAAACTGGACTGATAAAATCCGTGTAAAAAACTTACTACTATTTAAATACAGCCTCAATTATTTTCATAGTTTGATCAGAACAGTTCATGCTTTAAAATGCTTAAACTTATGTGCAAAAATAACAGTCCCTTACTTTTGGTCGTGGAGGTGTTCTTCAGGTCACTTTTCAAGTGTGTGGGTGATTTCCATTTCCATGTGATGTGAAAATAATAAAATCACCTTTAAAAAGCTGCCTTTTCCAAAGAAAGAGCAACATTCGCACCTGCAGAAATACATATGCACTTGCTGTACTAAATTCTTGCATTCTGTCTGGTGGTACTGAAACGGAGGAGATGCTGGGAAGTGTCTTCTCTCTACCATCAGACTCATCCAGACTGTGTTTGTACCCTGCAGGTTTGGAATAATCAGGTGCCTAAACATCCCCTTGGGGGGTCCTGAGTGGAAGTGGAGGCATCCAGTCCCTCCCCAGCTCTCTCTGGCAGTAAGCATGTGTGTTGCTGTCAACTGCTAATGATGGCCAGCATGGAGAGGGCAAACATAGTTGCTCTGCTCCATGGGCACCTATTTATTATCTGTTCCAGTCAATTCCTGCCATCGCTGGAAAAGAGATGTAGCTATTATCACTTCTGCTTGCCTTGCAAAAGGCAGGCTTTGATTTCACCCTTTGTGTCTCACCAAAGTCTGGATAAATCACCTAACGTTGGCCAAAAACTTGAGAAGGATGTTGTGATCTACAGCTGTGATCTCTGTCTTTCCCATTTTTCTGGGGGTATCTGTATAAAGACCACGTGCATTAGGGTAATGGCAGAATATACCTGTGCTGGGTAAACCTATGTTGGTCATTCCTAAATAACATGCCAGAAAGCCCCCTTGGCTGTAGTAACAAGTAATTGCAAAGTTCTTTTCGACAAAACAGGCTAGCCCCCGTGCATGCACGTTGCTGTAATTCGTGGTACAGATCAGCACATGGGACTCGGTGCAAGTATGTACTGTATGTGGCTGCTATGGTGATTAAAATACATAAATAAAATAGATAAATATGGACCATATTAGAAATTCATTACTGGCAGTCTGTCAGATCACAGTCAGCTCCAGTGTGCAGCGTCAGTTGTGTTTCCTTACGCCGAGCGGGCCCTCCTGGACCGGGAGCGTGAGCTCCTGGAGGGGCTGGACTTACGCAATGGCCCCGTCCTACCTTGTCAACTAGCTAATTCAACGCAAAAACAGTACACAAAGGGCTTTTGTGCATGTTTTATAGTTCAGTGAGGATTAGTGGCCTGACATGAATTTCAGACGGGACAAGCTTAGTGTTAACTTGCCTGGGGTTAACGAGGGAGGGCATGGGGCAATCTGCAGAGGCTGAAGCAGAAAGGTCCCCCTCCGATTTTGGACGCGGTACAGAGAATCGCTAAGAGCGGGTTCTGCTTACCTGGATCGGCGTGTTGGTCACGTGTTCCCTAACGTTTCGGCCGCTTTAGGATGTGGATCGTGCCAATCTCAGGCGCTTGCTTGCAGTTCTTCCCGCAGCTTCAGAGGTCCCCTCCGCCGTGGTGGACATCCTAGCCTGTACGTGGGCCCTGGCTGAGTCAGATTCTTGCTTTTCTTCCTTTCGTTTAGCATTCTCCGACAGTAATTTCCATCCCTTTCCTGAAATGCAGAACGATGCACTTGTCCGATGAAGTTTTTCCAGGCGGGATTCAAATTCCAAACAAGTCTTTCATTTCCTTCGCGCTGGGGAGAGAGCGAAGGCAGGGAGGCGAAGGAAAGCGCTCGCTTCCTTTAAATCCCCACCAGCGTCTTCCCAGCGCTGGAAGCGAAGTAGCTTGTCATGGTGATCTTCAGAGTTTAACTTCAGGGGGGAGGGAGAAAGTGGAAAGCAAACTGAATGCCGTAGTGGAGATTTCTCTCTTCCCCCACTGGGCCCCTTGCCGACTGTTTTTATTGATTTCAATCACTGGAGGCTAGCTGGCTCTCAGAAGAAACACTGTGTAATGTGTTCTTTCCTGGCTTTCATTAAAGAAACTCAATGCAGTGCGGTCACGCTGCCGAGCTCGCCTGGCAACCTGCCTACACCCTGTGGTACCTCTTTCATTGGAGGAGATCGAGCTCGTGGTTTGGGGTTGTTTTATTTATTTATTAAAAAAAAAAAAAATCTCCAGCAAGGATTTCAAAACAGCCTGTGCTCTGCTTCTGCCTCCTCTCGCCGCCCACAGCCTTTTTAAGCTTTGGAAGAAACTGTCGGCACCCCTGAAGGGGACGACTTTGGTGGCGATGCATACGAGCGCTGCGACAGTCTCGTGCGCCTTCTATTAAAATTCCTCTGTGCGTTTCTGGGGAGGGGTTAAAAGGGCTGTGTGTAAGCCACAGGGATGTGGATACAAGTGATTTCTGAGGGGTTTCCTTTTTTTTTAATCCCATCTTCTCCCGATTGGTTAACGTGGTTTAATTAAGGGTAAGAGAGTAGGCAAAATCCTTCAACAAATATGTGAAAATTCCTGGCAGTGCTGTAGTTGCAAATGAAGCAAAACTGCATTCCCCGAGCCTGCAGGCGCGGTGGTGTCTCAGAGATTTCTGTTGTATTCAGGACTGTGATACTAGTGGAAAAAAAGAGAAATAAAATGTGGTACTTATTTATGCCTTAGAACTTAATCTGCTACAGTATGTATTTTATAGGAGCAAACAATCTATAAAGTGGAATTCAACAAGCTAGGTTCTGTAAATCGTTTTGTTCTGTGTACCTATAAATGCTTTCATTTAATTTAGTAAATTTTCCGATTTCTGATTCAGCAGTTCCTAATGATAATACTTCATGTGCTCTTCAGAATTCACTGTAAATCTACAAAACATATAAAGATCACATAGTTGTAAATTAAGCCAGGTTTCAAGCTAATGAAGTTGCATCTACTCTCATCTACTCTAAATTACAGCTGCAAATTTAGGGTGCTACCTGATCACTTCTGCATGTGAGATACTATAGCTGTGTACACAAGGGTGCTTTTTTTTTGTTAAAAAAAAAAAAAAATTACATGACCACTAAAAGAATCCTTTCCTGGATCAGAAAGATAAAAAGCTTGTTCTTATTTAAATCTGGCTTCCTGCAGAACTTGTTTGAGGCTTTTCTGCTGGGTTGCATCTACAGAAACGTTTCCAAATCAACTTAATGTAAGTTATTCCCAGTGTTTTTGTTGCGAGTAGTTGAGATTCTAAAAACTCCTAGCTTTCATGAAAAAAAATTATTTTTTTCTTTGTGCAGTGTATCATTAAAAAAACCCAACTTCCTCTGTAAATGCAACAGACATGATGTAAGGAGGTATGCTTCTGCAAATGTTACTTTTCATTCAAAATTTGCTTTCTGCATGGCAATGCAATTTCATATGCCCTTTCTGTTCATACTTCTTTCATAAGGTGCTAAATGATAGAAAATAGTTAATTTAAATCCAATATGGCCATATTGCATATTTTATACAAAATCTATTGCTGTAGTTATAGCACAGTTATTTGGCAAGCCTCAGGTAGTCGTCAATCTTTCTTTTATGAACCTTGCATCTAACGATTTGCCAGCCTTTCTTTGTAGGTTTTGAACTGTGTTTATAGATTCTGCTTTTTGTTTTTAAGCTGGCAGATGGCCACTTACTTATCTGGGTTCATATGTATTGTGTAAGACAAACAGAACATTTTGCATGCTGATACCATGCACGGGGTATTTTTGGGGCAAAAGGCTGCTTGTAAGCAGAAGGCATTACGTGACGGGTCAGTAGCTCCTCGTCAGCTCTAGGTCAGTGAACAAAGCCTCTTTTGACATTCCTCTATATTAAAAGTTATGAAATAACACGAGCTTAATAACAAACAAGGGGATACAATGCTTCTACTATGCAAGAAGTGGTATCATCCAGTTCCCCATCTTTCTCTTTGGAGTTCAAAAATACGACGCCCTTCTAAGAAGTTTGTCACTGTTAGTAAAGTTACAATTTATTCTTCTGAATTTCTGATGTTGCTTGCTTTGCTGTTGTACAGACTTGTGTTATTGTGCTGGTAGAAGAGGATAAAACCCTATTGGCTTTTGGAGGAGCTGGATTCTCTGGTACTAATAAATAGTAAATTTGGTGTTGTGGCTTGGTCTGTGGTTACTGCTGTAGGTTTGGCAGCAAAGCCAAACCCCTGAACAGGCAGAAATTCAGACCTACACAGGCGAATACCAAAGGCAAATTTGTAATAAATGAGTATTTGGTTCATCGTGGGAATTCTTTAGAGTTTCTGACTCTGTAAACCTTATTCTATGCTTGCAACAAGATAAATAGGGATGCACATGTAGGAGTCCCTGAAAGAGTGACAAGTGAGGAGGAGGAACAGAAGTCTTTAGAAGACGTCTTCAATTCTACTCAAATATGAGGCAGTCAAGGACTGTTGGGTAACTATAAATCTAGAAACAAATTTAAAAATGCACTTGCTGCTCTGCTGAAACACAATACAGTTAGTGTGCTCTCTTAATACTCTCTTGGTACTGGTTGCTCAGCTATTAGGGTTTATAGTCCCCGTCAATGTAAGTTTTTATGCAACTGGAAAAAACTCTGAAAAACTACACCTGTTTGGTTTTGCCACTTCTGCTGCAGAAAAAGGGTCATATATTTTCAAGAAATCCTCTTGGATACATCTTTCTGCTAGTTTCTCTTGCAGTTATAGTTATTTTCTTCTGTTCTGAATTGCTTAGCAGGACTGCTTTACACTATGAAATGCTTTACTTCAGTTTGAGATGGCTCCCCTTTTATGATGGGTAAGCTAATCTAAAGATTACTTACAAAATGTTTTAAATTTGTGCCGTATTTCCAGATTACAAAGCATAATGGAAAACTTTAACTGGTATCTAAAACTGCAACAGCTGAAGCCTCCAGATATTTTGAGTCAGATGTCTTCGACTATTTACAGTCTACTACTGTGTTTAAATACAGTTCAGAAATGTAGAGACTGGCATTGATGAAAGGCAGAGTATTGGCAGTCACAGCACTTTGCATGCAGATGGACATGGTATAGTATGAACTTTGGGAATTTGCTTGAAGATGTCTGAGCTCGTGTCTTCATACATGATGACAGTGGTTTTTTATGAATGTAAGTGCTAAAGATTTGGGGGTCTGTCTTTTACTGAAAATATGGCATCCAGTGGCAATATCCCTTTTAGCACCTTTTCAGGCCTCTGGAAAGTTTCCAAGTGGAAGACTCCCACCTCCTTAATCATGAGAAAACACTGGCTCTCCTCTGAATGTCATTCATTCGAGTGTACTGACCTAGCCTGACCTTGTTTAGATTGAGATCTAATGAGCCCACGGTCCAAGGTGGGGTGGTACCTCTCAGCAGGCTTTGCAAATAAGCAAGTGTTGTGTTTTTCTGTATGCATATGGTTTAAATTTATCACACCAATAAACAAGTGTCTCACATGCTCAAATACGGACTTTACAATGTTGTAGTTAAGACTAAATTGTAGCACTACAAATTGTGATCTCACTTATACAGGAGGAGACAATGTGGAGTATTTATGATCTCAAAACAATGAAGTCCCATTGGTTGGGTTTTAAAAATTTAAATAATGACATAATAGTAAAACTCGTAATCCAAATGGCTCAGAAACTTTGGACACATCTTTCAGAAAAACAGTCACAGTAATGGTTCAGGGAAGGCAGAATTAAAAAGTAAGGCTGTTGGTTTAAAGAATGGAGAAATACATCAGTAGAGTATCATAACAGAGATCATCCAAGTTAAAATAAATACAGCTAGGCTTGAAATTCCAGTGCAAGGTTTGGTTTTGTTTTTTTCTGAGTCACAGGTTTTGGGGAAGGTTGTTTTCAGTTGTGGTGTTTGTTTTGTTTTGTTTTTGTTAAATTGGGATAAAACTACCCTCAGCTTCAGTGGAGAATATACCACCAAACGCAGGTATTTTATGAAGCACATAAAACTTGAGGCTTTCAAATTAAAACCAGTCCAGGACAGGTTGTGGTATGTACTACTGGATTAATCAAGTTGACGTGGATGGATAAAAATCTAGTTGCAACTAGAGAAGTTGGTTGAGCTGTAAAGTTGTGAGCTCTTTCACAGTATGTGTGCCGGGAGGCCCGAGCAGAAGCCTGATGAATCCCCTTTTCCGTGGATGACGCTGGGGGCTACCAGCAGGTATCTCCAGCTGTAAATCCCGACTCTTCCGCGCCCCGGACAGCACCAGCCCCGCGGGGAGACCAGCGCTCCTGTTTCAGACGGCCCGCGGCGCATCGACTGCGGCGCTGGAAACGGCCGTTGTTAGGGCTCGTTATTTACCTTGGGACCTACAGGGAGGGAGCAACTTGTTTTGTTTTTAATGGAGCGGTCGGGGAGCGGGATAAAAAGCTTTTTGATAATGCAAGGAATGTGGGGGGAAGGGAAGGTACAGCCGTATGCATTTACTGTAAGTACGAAGAAGCAGAGGCCTCTTTATCAGACCGGCTCTAATGATGTGCCACAGTCACTTTATTTGAAAGCTTCATGGCTCACAGAAAAGTAAACAAATTCATTACATTATTTTTAAAAGAAGATTAACTGTAGTGTGTCGGCTGTTGGACAGCTGCTGTAGTAATCTTTTACAAACACTTTATAAATGACCACCCTCAGTGTTTTCCTGGGCTTTGTGGGGCTGGATTGTTGTTCTAGTAAGTACCAGGGTGGCTTTCCAAACGAAAACGTTGTTTCCTGTACAACAATTATGTACCTACCTTCACACTAAATATTATTTTATCCTCAGCATGAGTTATAAAATGTCTTGTATATAAATGCAACATATGTTGCTTTTTTTGTGTGTGTTTGCACCTGAATGGTGGCTTTTCCATAAAAGTAGCTAAAAAGTATTTTAAACAAAAAAAGCCTCTTTACTGTCCCACTCCCATGTACTCTTGATTTCTGCTTTTTTGCCCTTTTTTGGTCTTTGAAAACAGAAAGTTGAAAAGATGAGTCAGACTAAACTTATATAGTACATGAATTGACACTGAACAAACGTTTAGTCTTCAGCAGGTGTCTTTGGCAAATAAGATTGTGTTCAGGTATTGTCTTGTTTGACCATCCTTTGCTTGAATGTCAACAAGAATAATGTTATTTAGCACCATGTCTGGATTTTCGTTTGAAATCACTTGACTAACATGAATTGATATAACCCTAAAGATTTGTCAGTTTATAAATTATAAACCAATCTCTCCATAAAGCAGTTGATCTTCTTGTGCATTCAGGTTTCGGTTATGGGTTCCCCAAACAGGT